CTCGAAAACATCTTCCTACGAGGAAAATCTTTTGCGTCTTGTATTAACAATAAATGTTTGCTTTAGTGAATGATCTACTTAACTCAGAGAACAAAATTTAGAAAACCCCACAAAAAAGATTTTCTCGATCAAGATTATGAATGTTCTATTCGACCCTTCAGTTCTTACTTAGACAAGTCACCGAACACTCGGCAAAAGTTTCGATCCGCTGACTAAGGAGCTTCAGATTTTCTGGGAAAGTTTCAGACACGGTACATCATCACGAACACAGAATCTTCGAATTACAGAAACACACGGAACGGGAATTATTAGAAACCTAATAATTGAGGGTTTCTGGAAACTGATCTAAGAATGAGCAATTGGGTTTTATCTTTCATGTATATATACGTATATATATATATGTTTATGTATAAATGACAGTTGCCCAAGTATCATGCATTGTTTAAACGTTCTTAACGGTTTTTGCCGACTGCATTTGTGATCAAGTTTTGAGTCCTTCTTTGGGGATCAATGGTGTAGACAAATGGGTGAATGAAGTGCCATATTCAGCAGCAAACGCATTTCTATGGGATCATGTAAAACGAAGAAACGACCCCGTGGGAATCCATGAACGATTTGAGAGCTCTTTGCGGGTTAGACTATACTACTCTCAATAAGCTTACAGTTGAGAGTAGCGCAGCATTGTAACCAGTGAGCGTATTACCAGAAAATTGCCTAATCATTTTTTTAAATTATATTGCAGTTCATCAGGTATGCGCCTCCAATTCTGCGCTATCAAGTGGTTTAAATCGGGGTTCACTTAAGCGAATAATACAATTCACAATCCCTTCATCACTCAGAATTTAAAAACTAGTCTCAGATAGACGAATGCCAAGTTCTAGTCACCCATTCTGTGATATTCCTAACCCCCTACTTGTGTTGCAACGGGGAGCTTTGCTGTATTAGAGCACCACTCACATCTGTGTTGTCGATCTCTTGGTTACTCCAAAACGGTCAAATTCCATCTGAACAGTGCTTGTCCTGACTGTGTTGTCTGAATGTTACAAATTATTCAGTTTTTCTAACTTCCTACAAGTATCCACCATCAGTCGGATATCCGCTTCAAACATGTTTGTGTGTGGGCGAGGCGGGCGGGGGGAGGTAGGTTGAAGGGGCACTAATGATAATGTATAGAGACCGTTTATTTGAGTGACGCCTTACTCATATTTCACTCAGTCAGGGTTCCTTGGTTGTTGCCCAATTGCTATTCTGCAAGAGAATATATTACCATGAAGTTAACCAAATGAACAAATATTGAGGCTTAGAAAAAAGAAAGCTCTATGAATAATTCTGGTGATATTTCTTTTTATAGGTTTTATTGAACAACAATTGTTAACTCAACACTCAGGGAGGAAAACAGTTGTTCGATTTCAAATTTTTATCCAACTAACTCTCTGTCTCTTCAAAACAGCAGAGAACCATCCTCTCTCCCACATTAAATTAAAAATCCGTTTTGAGCACCGAGAACCATTTTTATATCAAGCAAACCAATAAAATATTAGACATGCTGGAAAGCTCAATTAACATATTTTTTTATTCACCTGCTAGTTATGGAAACGTTTTCTCGTATATTTCAAGGATTGCACTGATGTATTTCATTGTAATTTCTGATGCCAATAATCGATCTTGCCACATACATGTAGCATCCTCATATACTCTCAAAGTTACTGACAGTATAGTCGACGATGGAATTAGGCGATTCCTGAAATCAACCGATTTTTAACCGCTCACTAACATTGCCTTAGTAGCGCCGGATCGTGCTTTACACACCTACTATTTGCCACCAATGACTGAACTAGATCAGCCGATAGGGGTCACAGCGTAGNAGCGTAGATGCAATCTTCCTATACCTATCCAAGGCTTTCGACAAAGTGCTACATCATGATTGGAGAAGGCTATTGGCTGAATATGACACAAACGTAAACCTAATTACATGGTTCAACGATTATTTAACCGGTTGCACTTTTCAAAGGAACAAGGAGCTCTCAACTTTCCACCCAGTACTTAGCAGTGTTACACATGAATCAATGCCGCCCCCTGCTATTCATAATATACATCAGTAATCTATCATAATCTTTGACTTCAAAGGTTCTCTTATATACTGATGAAGTCAAAATTTGGAGGCGTATCCAAAATGAGATAGATAGAGACCTCCTGCAAAGAGACCTCGATACTATTGGTAACTGAAGTACCGTGATCAGTCTACTCCTGAACCACGCCGAATGCCACGTGATGCATCTGAGAGGGGTATCCGTAAGGAGTTACATCCTCTGATCCATGCATCAAACAGTGTGGGAGCAAGTTAACGATCTCGGGTCAGTCCTAACCCGAAAAGAATTATCAAACAATTGTGTCCGAATGGCGAAAATAGGACACTCTGTTTAGCACCTCATCACCAGATCTCTCGAAAACCTGGATCCCGAATGCTTTAGCCTAATGTAAAGGACGTGCGTTAGACAGCACCTAGAGTAAAATCTACTGGCTTGCCCTCCTGTACTCATGACAGGCATCAAAATCCTGGAAGCAGTTCGAAGAAGGGTAACTAAAACAGTTGTAGATTTACAGACTGCAACGGCTAAACCTGATCAGTCTTTCTCAAAGGTGTCTACGCGGGGACCTGATACTGATGCACAAAATTGTAACATTACCAGATCAACCAAAAAGGAGCTACTAACCCAATCGTCCAACCAGCATTTACGGGGTCATCGATGTTAGGCTAACACCAACGGTGACAGAAAAACAGCAGACAGTTACAATTCTCTGTGCGAGCTATATCAATCATGATTCACTTGGTCGAAAAAGGATATTTCGTCAGAATGGGTGAAACACCGGGGCCCATCCACACCAGCATCAGAGTTTGTTGAGAGCAGGTCAACATCGCTCACTGTCAACAGTCAAAGTGACCAGACATAAACGCCAGAGCAACATAAAGCCTGGTACAAAACGAGTGTCAACTCGTTTATGTGTTTCATTCATTCGACAGAATGATCTAAATGTTGTAAATTGGTTCTCGTAGCTGGGGTGAACTGAATTCTATTGCGCCTGTTCACCGAGCTTGGCAATTTGTTTGGTATCATCAGCCGAAGTGACATCATCAATGCTTGTGTAGTGGCAGAATGACCTAAACTCCCATGCGCCATAACAATATTAGCCATACACACGTATACATACGTGCGTGATCTAGATTTTTCGGTTTCATTGACTCATTTTATTTTGTGACATAGTTGACCAGTAACTGATACTCTGAAAACGAGCTTGTTTGCCAAATTGCTAAATTGACGTGGTTCACGCATATTGTCCAGTATTTCTTAAGTGCTTCATTCTTCTACATCACGTTCGATTATTTCTCTCTTTTCATGCTTGGGACATATCATATTTGAGCCGATTGATCAATTATGCGGCTGACGCAGATTACGTGAATCACAATGTAACACAGATGTTTTTTTTTTTAATTTCGCAACGTCCAGGCATAGTTGTTTTCCCTTGGATTCCCATCCATCAAGCCATCTGAATTCATAGGCATCTTATCGACTTTTATTACAAGCGCGAATCTATCCACAGCACTGCAATGGTATTCAGATAAATCCAACTGTCAAATTGCTTAACATGCATGGTTTCATCGTTTCAAAAGACCCTACTCGATAGACACCCAATTTAACTGCATTCCCAAAGTTCGGACGTGTTAGATTGATTATCCCTCCGTAGACCCGGCAATCGACTTGTGTAATTCCGGTACTCTATAGAGTTCTCGCTCTCCACTCAGTAGCACGAATCTCCCCGACCGCGCGATTTCTTTTCTACGTCGTACAATCGCACTCTGACAAGCGCAAGCTCATTTCCTTCTCTTCGGCTTGTCGGCTTCAAAATTTTTTGGAGTACATGCAAATTCCACGCTCTGATTGATTTCGCTCATCCGATGGAGGAACACGATGTGACAGTCGGTGAGAGAGTGAAGAGAGACATGCCCCACGACAAAGCAACTATCCCGATGCCCGAAACACGTACTAAACAAACAACTTCCGGTACATGATGCGTGAGAAGTTTACGGGGACAAATGAACATGTGCATAATTTTAGTTAGTGGGCGCGTATCTGAAGCATGAAAACATGTTTTCTTTAAATCCAAGAAAACTGGCATTTTTCAACTTAAAATATTCTCACCAACATATCAGATTATTATCATCATTTTCTTAATAAAATAATTAAAATTGTATACACACGTTTCACTGTGTTTAGACCTGTGACACACGTGAGTCTTAGCTACGTGACATAAAAGACAGTAGTGTCATTAGGCTTCATTTGGACTTGAAATGATGAACGACCGTAGTACGTGTGTGTGTATGTGTGTGTGTGTGTGTTTGATAAGTGGGGGAGGGAGATATCACAAAGGGGTTGAGGCTCCCTAGAAGTCTCGGTTTCATTTGCTATCTGTTAGCTACACCTCACAGTTGGCTGGCTAGTCCTTGTTTTCATATACCGTAGTTCTGTTCTGTATCGACCCAATTCGCGACCGTGTTCTCGTCCATGGGATAAGCTGAAATCTGATTGGTCCATTGTTAGAAACAGAACTGGTTACACATACTTCCTTATACGCACGTGCGTGTGAGCATGTGTACGCATCAACGCACAAACACAACGTGCGTCTATACGCGTTCGTTCATCCGACTCAGGCCAATGGGTTGACCACGTGTGCGGGGAAAGTCCCTGTTCGTTGTCAGTCTGAAAGATTTGAGCTACCGGACTCGTGTGAAACAACTGTTTTTGAGCGAATTCAAAAAGAATACAATATAGTCCTTGAACACATTTTTCTACGCATGCATTGCGTCCAATGAAGTGAACTAAATCCCTATTTGGAACGGGGCAGTGTTGCAAGCGTCCCTCTCTCTTCCAAGGTACTTGTACGAATAGCATCAACACAAAACACAACTGAGTTTGGCCGGTCACAACGCGAACCCCGTGACAATGGCCAATAGGTTTGCTCAAACCGGCGATGGAAAAGCCCCAACGTTCTTCATTCCTGCTTCGTACAAAGGACATCAAATTAGTAAACCGACCATCAGTCCACCAAAAACCGCTGGTCCTCTTTCAGGCAATCATGTGACCAGCCCAACCAAGAGACTTGAATCAGGACAATCCATCGACTCTAATAGTATGCTGAACCCCGGGACGACCGGAATCAATACATTCAGTCAAATTAACAATAACTCCAATACTAACAATAAAAGTGCAAACGTGAATAACGCGCCCCGACCTGGAGCAAAACCGGGGGAATCACAGCAGTCTGCTTATCTGCTAGCATCTCCCAGTGGTGTACTGGATCTTTCACTGTATAATTTCGTCCCGGCACAGAACAAGAATAATACCACTACAACCAAGGCGGCCAATGGAAAGTCCGGGAATGGTCAAATGAACGGTACAAATACGAACGGTTTGGGCGAGGACAACGCGGAAACCCTGGACCTGGTCGACGGTGGCGAGGTTTCAGTTGTACCCAAGGAGAAAAAACGACGACGATTTCGTCGACCGCGACGGAATAGCAAATTAGACAAACTGATCCGACTGCTGGAGGACAAGCGGGTCGGAGATGATGATGAAAATGCAGAGGAGCTGGAAGACCTCCAAATGCCACGGTTGCGGAAAGTGCTCAACATCATTTTTGTTACACTCGGAGTGTGTTTCCTGCTGGCAGTGATTATTGTGATCATGTACACAACTATTGCCACGTGAGTACCCAAATGGTTTGTTTTGACATTACTTTGATAAGCTGTTCCTGAGTGGGTCACATTTTTTTGATGACAGGACAATGAAT